AAAAGATCTCTCATCAAAGTTATTGCGGAAGATGAGCTGTGGATGCACGATCAGATTAGAGATATGGGAAGACAGATTGTTTTGCAAGAAGACTATTCACGTATTGGAAACCGAAGTAGAATATGGGACCGTGGAGATGTTCTCGAGGTCTTGAAGGGCCAAAAGGTATATAATTGCGACGTAAAGAAATTGTTGCACTCTGTGAAGCTTAATTTATACTGTTCACTTATATTTTCTCGACTGCACATTGATCTAGTTTTCTTAGGTCATACTTTTTTATTGTAGAAGTATATAGCTATTCATATAATTGGAAATTTTTTTATTATAAGAGCATACTAACATTCATATCTCTATATTAGGTCGCCCTAATTTCCTAGGCTATAATCAAGCATTTTAGGGACTTTTTTTTCCTAGACATGACGTAGAGGTACTAGGAAAAAGAAAAACATCCTTATAATCTCCTTCTTCATTATAGTGAAAATTCTGCAGCGTCGATTTATGCTTTTTGCTCTCGGGATTGAGATTTGGGATTAATCCTAAAAAAATGTTCCTATAATTATCCTCTGAATTTTTAAATATCAATCTACAGGGGACGCCACGCATGGAAGGGATTATCGTTGATCTGGCTGTGAAGAAGCACACAAGGATTATCAGTGCTAGAACTATAGCTCTTAACGATCTTCTAAGATCTCGCAGTGTCACTGCTGCATTAACATATTTGAAGGAGAAATACAAGGAATATTTTCAACGTGGGGCAGAAGAGGGTGAAGTAATAGTGGATACCAAATGGTTCAAATCAATGGTTAATCTGAGGATGCTTCAATTCAGTAATGTCCGACTCGAAGGAGATTTTAAACATATACCTGCTGCAGTGAAATGGCTACAATGGAAGAAATGTTCACTCAGAAGTCTGCCTTCTGTATTTTGGGACAGTGAAATGGATGTTCTTGATCTCTCTGAGAGCAAGATAGAAAGTATATCGGGATGGAAGTTGTTCTGGGATGGAAGAAAGGTATGTTTCAGTTTCATGACATTTTCTGAGAATCGCAAATTTTAATATGCATACAAGTTTGCAAAAAATATTAAAAAGAAAAAGCATGTACATAACTTTCCTCAATTCCTCAAAGCATGAAAATACCTTCTTTGTTAGAATTGCTAAGAAATATATGATTATTGTTAACG